GAGGGGGGGGTGGGGGGGCGGCAAGACAAATTATTGTCCAAAAATTAGCCTTGTTTTGCTAGGAAGCCAGCTAGCTGGGTAAGCTAAGTTTAGCTTAATAGCAAAGCCTGCCAGAAATGCAACAAACAAAGACGCAAGTTAGTCAAAAATAGTTTTTTAGGAAATAACAACACCAAATAGTAATTAAGGTGGAAGTTTTCCCAGAAACAGCTTTGCAATTTTGTCAGAAATATTATTTTAATTATATAATAATTATAGAACATATAAACATAAATCAGACCTATTCAATTCATTTTATGTTCAAATTATTTTTTGTAATTTTTTTTTTTTTTTTTTTTACCTGTGGCTCTGTGATTATTAGTTGAAGTGACCGTATCCACACAGCCTTCTGTTCGACACTGGTTTTTCATCATTGTCTCGTCTGTGGTTTTGAGGGCAGAGCTTTGAAGTGCCGACAGGCAGGGGAAGATAAGATGAATTGGTTGAGTCAGTCGCGGGGTTAAAACTTTTTTCACACTCTTTCCTTGAACCTTTGTTTATTGTTATTATTGATTGACATGATGGAGGATTTAAACAGATCATAAAAAAAACCTCCGTGTTGGAAGACAGTCTTTCTGTGTGGAGGTTACGTCTTCTCCTTGTGTTTGGGAAGTTTCCTTCAGGTTTGCGCCAAGAAACTCCCAAAACTTGCGGATGCAATTGAATTGTTTGAGTGTGAGTTGTTGTCTCTTGTTGTCTTTATATCGTCCTATGATGGACTGGATTGTTGTTCAAGGAGTGACACTGCCCTCACAGGATGAAAGTGAGTGGCAACTTGGCAGCTGGTGGACTCGAACCTGAAACCTTCCGGATCTAAGTCCACTTCTTCGCTTTAGCTTTCCCAACAAGCATGAAAATGATTTAGCATCATCAACAGGTGGCCTGTGGACCAAATCCAGGGCCCACAAAATCATCCCATCCGGCCCATCCAATCCAGCTAATTTCAATATTAAAATTGTGATTTTTATTTCATTTTATCTGGGTATGTGGAATCTCTGGCCTTCTGGTGAATGAAGTTGTTGACTCTCAGCAATAGTAGACGAAAGTGCTTAAGAAACAAATATGGAAACAAGGCCCAACGGTATATTTTTGATGTCTTTTATCACATGATGAAATATAACATTTTCAAAGCTTTGCTGGTCACAGCGAAACAGCCACCTGCTCTGAAATAAACGACTTTTCCCCCCCTCACCCGTGGACTCTGGAGCGTCGAGGCGCCGCGCGAACCTGTGCCTTTGCCCACGTCGCCCTTGATCAGTCCCGCTCCGTCTCACGTCAGCAGGGTGTTTTCTCCCGTGCTTTCGGTTCAAACTTCCATTCCAGTCCTGACGTCACCGTGGCAGCTGCCGGCTACCGAGATGGCGGGATGAAAATTGACCGGGCGGTCCGATTTAATTTGTTTAATTAGGCTATTGATCCGGTGCATTGTAATCAGCAAGGTGCCAGGCTACAGGCGAGAAACGGCGGGTGTAACGAATGGTTAACGGCACAGCGTAATTGCCGCGGCCTTGACAGGAATTGGAGTGAATTCTCCTTAGCTCAGCACATCCGCGTTAAAGACCGCAGCTCTATTTGCTGTTAAAGTGTGAGCGGCTGAAAGGATCAACAAGTCACGTTTGATCGGCTTTCTGCAGCAGCAGCAGCAGCAGCAGCCACTGGTTATGGTCATAAAAAAAAGGGCAGATTTCACGGCTGTACATTAATGAAGACAGTCAGTTCACCTCCGAAAACAGTCCGGCTACAGTACGGCGGGAGCAGCTTGTCTCTTACATCTACTCAATATTCATCGTCCGCGACGTGCATTAAAAAAAAAAAAAGAAGCGCTGCAGCACCATATGTTCCGTCATGTTTTCTCTCATTCCCACACCCATGTCCCTGCCACTTACTCTGTTGTAACACTGTGAAAAATTGCATTACACGTCAGTCTTGTACTAAGTGCACCCCTGAGTCTGACTTTATTAGATATGTCATCAGGAAGCTGTTACTGGCATGTCGGCAACGTGAAGGTCATTTTTTTTTTTCCATTGCCTCCTCCTGAAAACGTAGTAGCTGTAAGGCATGAGCACTAACCACGTTACAACCGTGCGGCCTCTTAGATGTCATATCATGTCCTAATGGTACCAGTAACTGTCTGTGAAAATCTCATCAGAGGGCCTTTCGATGCCACCGATAAAAAGAGACATGTTGCACATGAAAAATTGGAATGAAAAATGAATATAGGATTTCAGAGGAATGAATGTTATCCGTGTATGTTTCAGAAGTGTTAGTCGAGAGCTAAAGGTTAGCTGAAATTTGGAATTGTTTTGGCACAAAATTAATTAAGAAGACCTTTTCTAAATGTTAACACTAGAACTTAACGAAAATTGGCTTGGACTTGTTCAAGGATATGGTATGGCAGTATTCACTGGACTGAACTAAAAACAGCTAATAAAAAGTTTATGTGTATCACGGCAGGCGTGCTAACCGCTACATGGGAGTGAACTAAAAACAGCTAATAAAAAGTTAGGTTACATTTATTTATGTCTATCACGGCAGGCGTGCTAACCGCTACACTATGGAAACGCTGACGAACCGCACAAAAGTGACAAAAGAGAATGCTAGAAAGAACAAAGCTAAAAGTTATTTTAAAAAAAAAACCCATTATATATACAGTCATTTTTAGCTAAAATGAGGGATGATATTGACTTAAAAAAAAAAAGGAAAATATTTTACCGACAAGCCTTAAAACAAACATTAATCCCATCCATGTCATTACGCAACAAAGAACAACTTTATCAAAACAGGCTAGAAGTTATTAAAAAAAAAAAATCCCTAAAAATATTTTTTTTTCATTGACAAAACTCTTTTTTTTTTCTTTTTTTTTTTACAAAAACACTTAAAATTCCTTCACTGCTGGGAATTGAGCCACTGACCCGGTGTGTCCGGCCTGTTTCCTCTACAGTGGCTTAGAGCACAAGGTCTGCTGCGCATGCATCAGCCTTCGGGCCGAGCTGGACCCCAGGGGCTGTGTGGAAACGGGCTGAAATCCATAATGATCAGTCTCTCAGGCTCTACTGAATAATGCAGGGCTTTATAATAGAACCCACT